ATTTATTTATTTATAAAACAGAACGCCGATTGCTGATAATCACTGAGAAATTCTACGTCAAACTATTGTATGATATTCAGCTAATGGATCGACTTATGGTTTAATGTCTAGCAAGGAGAGCTGACGAACTAGGACTCTGACGGTAACTCTACAAGTCAAAATTCCGATATACATACTCCCCGTAATACAGAGGAAGCCAAAGGGATGCACATGCCCACTGCATCGCAAGGACATGAGCGATAGCCAGCTCGACTTTAAGCCAAACACGAGCATTCGATTTCCAACCCCGCCCTAAACAGATGCCGCTAAATAATAACCGACTCTGATTTGCTTTTGGTGAAGGGAAGTTAAATAACGTTCAGGCATTTCGCCGTTGTAAGCAAAGGCCCGTCATATTATAATGGTGTGGATTTGGAAAAGAGGTTAAAAAAGGAATAATATCTCTAATTTGCCCAAAGAGGATAGAAAACGGAAAATATGATAAATACTTTTAGAGTATCGAAAGAAGCCTCGGTGGAGTGTAGCGTCAAATATCAAATTTAAACGATTTTTTTGAAAAAAAATAAAAACTTAAAAGAGAATTTTTGATTCATTCGTAAAATCTGCAAGTTGAAACAGACACTTACTGTTCTCCTTACGTCTCTTTTTGCAGTCGTAATCCAACCTGCGACCCTCAAGCTTTTTGCGATGAAACTAAAGAGTAAAAATCGCGAACCGTTTAAAAACCTGAAAAGCATACAGTTTCGAAATGGCAACACGCAAACGACAGAAGAGTAGAAAAGACGAAGTAGGGAGTGAAACAATTTCTGCTCAATGCTCTTATTCTATCCACTGATCAAGATGGACGACTCGAATAACAGTAGCAGACTGAACGCCTGCAAACAATCCTGCACAGGCTATCGTTAGTTCATATCTTGAAACCGGCTTGTAACTTTTGGCCCCCAATAGTTAAAACCGAAGAAGCAGGTCACGAGTCTAAACTAGCCACCTATTTCCACACCTAAGACATTCTAACGACGAAAGGCTGTATAACGCCTAGATATAATACTATAAATAGTTACGGAAGCAAGCAAACTCGGAACAGGTCCCCTCTGATTGACTGGAGCACTCTAGACGCGTCCGCTCAGAAAGTTTAGTCAGACTATCTGGGGCAGTGCAGTAAGGTTTTTACGCAGCAGGTCAACAACAAAACTCGGCACCCATATGTAGATTTAAGTACATAAATAATGGTCACCATAATATATGGCACCCTGGTATGCAAAGGAGCTTTTTGTCAATTGGAGGCGTGCAAGCTAATGCGTTATTTGCTGGATATGAGTCTGGGGGAGAGATGCGACTACGCACTCACGCATTTATTTGTCGCGCTGCTGGGTGCACACATTCCATCAAAAATGTTGTTTAAGGGCCTTGAGCTTGCAGAAAAGTTTACCTCAGCAAGAGCAAAGTTTTG